TTACATGGCAACATTTCTAAACTGACCAAAATAGCTAAAACAAGTCACGTGCGAGTAAACTCTCCTCACATTGGTCAGAGTTTCACAGTTTATTTTATTGATCCACTCCCGAGTTCGTTTTAATCGAGCCAAGACCCCCTCATTCAGACTATCCCGGACCGATTGTTTTGGAGTGGATCAGAGCGCGATTGCTTGATTAACATATGCTAAACGAACTAAGTGTATCCAAAACAATGCTGGTGAAAGCAATCTAATGCATATGCGAAGAAAACCATTACCACAGGCCTCATCCGCTGCACTGCTCTCGATGTGAATCCTGGCTGTTTACATGCACTTCAATGAAATACACATAGATAAAATACGCTTATGCGCAGTGAAACTGAAGTAACCAGAGTAACTTTTGTGCAGAGGTGTTGGCATATACTGTACTGTATAATCAAATATAATATGAAGCTCTTATTTTAACTAAGCATGACTATGACGCAGAAAGGTGGGGTAATGAGTCAGGGAGGTAGGACTTCATAACATTAATTCTCGGTCATGAGTCTGGTCTAAGACAACAGATAATTCCATGAAGCATTTTTTTTTTGTATTCTATAAAATTGTCAATAACATTTAAGCAAACATTCTAGCAATGCCCCTGGGTTTGGGTTACTCTAATGGGCTATATGACAATATAATTAATGACTTTGCAACAATGTTAGAAAGGTTCAGATGTAGTAAAATATTAGAAACATTTTAGTTTGTTTGTATCATGTCTGAATTGATTGCTTGAGAGAAAAGAGAGTGTTCCAATGGGAGTAATAAAAAGTCAACCACAGTATTTGTGGTAGTGGTTCTAGTTTGGGGGGTGTATAGGTGGTAGTTCACCCATAGGTGCCATTAAAACTAAAACTAACACTGATTACGGCAGAATGAAAGTGAAGTTTATAGACATATCGGTCTATAAAATAGCAACTTCTCAATTTCCGCCAGCCTTGGTGCACAATGTAACTACAGAAATGTTAAGCATTAAACAGGAAATTATTGTAACTCTTTGGTTATTTTTTTAACATAGATGCTAATGTTATGACCCGATTCAATGATATCTTCTGTCATTTGACAGTTTATGACCTTAGCATTGATGTATTAATGAGACATTGATGCATTGTAATATTTATAACTATTTACTATGGTTGAGTCATGGCCTGAGGAGAGTATGTTAATGTTCTTCAACCCCACTTTTCTTTCTTGTTTAGCTGGTTTTGGGGGTTGGTTTTCACTCATTGACAATGCTTTGCTCAGGGTATAATAAGGAATGGTAACTGTTGATCTGGGAGGATGGTTTTTACTCTGCATCTCCCGCACATCGGTGCGTAGCCTTAAATTTTAACAAAGGTTAAAGACATGTTTCATCGTCTTTGTAACCCAGCAGTTCATATGTTACAGCTGTTTCTTTATACAGTATGTTAGTTTGTTTTATTTTACTGTCTGTATATTTAAACATGTAACTTAATAAACAACTTTGCCTGCTTTAGGGTGTTGAGATTCTTTCTCTTAATCAATAATAACAACAACTTTAATGGAGTCAGATTAATTACAATGGAGTCAGATAAACGATTTAAACACGCCATCCTTTAACTGCTTTCTGTTTCTGATTATTGGCTCAGAATAGCAGCGTAAGCTTCAAGCCTTACAGAAAAATGATAATGTCTTAACTAAAAGAATATTCATACACACTTATAATTGGTTGAGGATACATAGTCAACTTGATCTAAAGTGTTGACTAACTAGTCTATGGACAGTTTAGTTAATAGCTAATATACCTTTTTGGTTTCCACACAACTCCTTCATGTGGTCCCAACACAAATCGATTAAATTAGCTTAATTGTTTTGAAAAAATTTAAGTGAATTAAACATAAAACATTTAAGCTGACCCCTCCAAAAATACAAAAAACAACAATTGTGCTGATTTAGCTCATTTCAAACAAGCAGCAAAAATGTATTATTTGACTTACAAGCTGAATTTAGCACTTAAAACTTATTCAAACACTTTTACAAAATCTGTACAAAACGATGTGATAAACTAAGCTTTCGCAGCTCAAGTAACACTAAACATATTTAGCATTATTTAAGCTTTCACAGCTCAAACAAAATTACATCTGAGGATTATCCTGCATGTTTTCTGGTGATTTCTTTCAATCTCTAAATTACCCTGTCACTACTAGGCTAGCGAGTTTACTTGACTTTCTAAAATCATCCAGGAGGGCCTGTCAGCTCCTACTAAAGAGAATATAACTCACATCCTGTTTTTCTGTGTGTGCTTGCGAGTTTGCATTCACAGATGCTTCAATTGTTTTCCCAGGTGCTGGATATCCATTTCAATCCAAGACATCTGTATGCAGTGTGCCGACATTAGCGCACAAACACACACACACACACACACACACCGATTTTGCATGCATTTGCAGAGTCGGGCTCCAGCAGGCGTCCTTGTAGAAGCAGTGCATTTATGTGGCTGTTAAAGCGAGTCCCGCTGGATGAGAAGGATTTCAGAAAGCTGAGAGAAGGATGTGTAGAGGGAAAACAGGAGGAGGAGAGGTGAACGACTGCAATGCTCCATGCCCACGTTCAGCCTCCTCTCACTTCAATTCATCAGTAAAGCTTTGATGCAAACTGTGAGGGAACAGAGCCCAAACCATTCTAGCGCTGTTTCAGGCGGTGGGTGGGTGATCTAGAGCGGGATCTACATGCTATTAGACAAGATAAACAGCAAACTAGTGCTCCGCTAAACACGGGGAGAAAGATATGCTGCTTTGAAATAGAAAATAATGAATGGTGTGTCTTGCAATAAATGTTCAGATCTTTTTACAGCTTAGGCAGTGGTTCTTTGGTGGAAGATCTCAGGGCTCAAAGAAATATGGAAAAAATAATAGCGCTGATGGAAAAATATAAAATCCAGTGATATTATCATGCAAATAGCAGACTTTTAAAAAGGGTTGGAAAATCATGTCCAACCAAAAATCATGAGCACAACTGCTGTATACTATTATTTACTATTAGTAAATATTATACTATTAGTACAGGTATTTTTTAGTGACTAACAGTTTTATTGATTTTCAGGGAATTTTCAGAATGGAATACAGAACACAACTCTGCAAAGAATCAACATTTTACACTATTAACAAACCCAACCCAAACTAATCCCTAACCATGACCTAAAGGTCCCACTTGGCTATCATTAAAAACAGCTAAAACTCCCATTTTTATATAATTAAGAGAAAATTTAAATAAAATACTATAAAAAAATGAATAGGTAAATTCAGTCAATAACATATCACATTTGCACTGTCACAATCATTACATTTCTCACACATTTATTACGGTTCCATTTACAAACAGGTTAAGTACTTGGACCATTTTTTATAATATACTGTAGGTTAGGCTCGTCCATTTGCTTTTTTTTTCAAATTCAGCCACCAGCAATTTCTACTGCCCATTCTTGAAGGGAAGGGGCATCTTCTGATTTCCAGCTCCTATAAGAATTATTTGTCTGCCAATCAGTAAAATGGTTTGGACCCAGGTTTTATGTTTTTTTATTATTTATTTCATTGTCTGTCACCTAGTAAAAACAGTCTTGGACATAGTGAAATATGTTAATCTAAAACCAAGCAAATGTGTTCATGAACTTAAAGCTAAAACCATAGCAAAACCATAGAGACCATAGAGCTAAAACGCTCTAAATCACCTTTCTCTATCTTACATCTCCAACAAAAAAAAGTGTATATTTTAACCTGAGAGTACAGGTATTTTTAGATTAAAAAATGAAAACTTTACAAATTTATTATGTAAAAAAAAAAAAAAAAAAAGTTTTCTTTATTTTTATGTATTAACTTTTTTTTAATTGGAACGAAATTTTTTATATACTAATAATAATATTATAATAATATATTGTAAACAACATAGTGATAATATAGTAATAATATTAGCTGACAGTAAAAAGTATCCAATAATAATAATAATAATAATAATAATAAAATGTTTTTTGTGCCATGAATTATTATCTGATGAGAAGATAAATGTTACACAACACTATTTTACAATAATGTAATGGCTGTTGTACTCTGCTGATGATTATGTTTTAGTTCTGTTTATAATAATAATAATAATAATAATAATAATAATAATAATAATAATAATAATAATAATAATCACAATAATAATAATAATATAGTAAACAACAAAGTAATAATATAGAATAATGTAAACTGATAAGGGTTTATACAAAATATAAACAGCATCTACAATAATATAATAAAAAGTATCCTATAATAATAATAATAATAATAATAATAATAATAGTAATAATAGTAATAGTAATAATAATAATAATAATAATATAGTAAACAACATAGTAATACTATAATAATAATATAAACTGATAAGGGTTCATACAAAATATAAACAGCATCTTCAAAATTATAATAAAAAGTATCCTATAATAATAATAATAATATATTGTAAACAACATGGTAATAATATAGTAATAATATTAGCTGAAAAGGGATTATACAAAATATTATGAACAGCATCTACAAAATAAAATGTATAATAATAATAATAATAAATAAATAAATAAATAAATAAATAAATAAATAAATAAATAAAACAGCGCTAAAACATATTAATCTGAAGCGTGCATTAACAGCCATTACTTTCCCTTTAAGAGTCTGTAAGCTGTGAGGGCGAGTGGGAGCTGATGAGATGAATATTGACAGGCTTTAAAGCGCTGGAGCGTACAGTGATTGAGGACACGGCCAATGTACATGCAGATGAATACAAATGGGATTTCACACATGGAGGAACAACTAGACAGATTACAGTATGAGTGCCTAATTTGCAGATGCTTACGGTGGAAGCTGCCCCTTTTGCACTGATCTACAAACATTTTTAAAGTGTGATATTTTAAAGCGACCTGTCAGATATAACTGTAAAACCAAGCAGTTGAAGATAAAACTCACCTCAGTCTTGCAGCATTCAACGCTTCCTCCACTAGTCTCTCTAAAGCAGAAAGGGACCTGTAAGTGATACAAGAAAACTAGTATGAGTTCATGTCAAATCGCTATTCTAAATAAATATTGTGTACCAATCCTGAAACCTGAGCTGCACTTCCTTCACAAAGTACATACCCTTAAGCAATGCTGGGAAGTCATACAGGTAACTTGAATATACTGTACAGGGGAATTCATTAAAATATTGTCACTTAATGTAGAAATGGTTTAGCATAACCTGTAAGAAGGAAAGTGGATAATAACTGAGCGAAGGCACAATTCACTAAGATTAATGAATCAACACTTTTTAATGTAAAATGTGCACTAGACTGCACAGCGTATCTAGATATGCCCTGATTTTAATGCTCTCTTACATCATTTGATGAATTACTGCTGCCATGATCACTGGAGGAAGTAGACAAATAGTTAAATAGATGAATAGAAATTAATATGAATAGAATAGAATGAATAGAAAATTCATTTATGGCCTGGTAAATAGCACAGAATTTTGTGTAGATAACTATAAGACTGTTCAGACTGCATGAATTTTTTTAAAGTAGTCTTGTCGTATATGCTATCCCATTACAGGACTATCTGGGCTAGCGTTCTGTTGGTACTGTGTTTACACTAGAGGACGGATAGGCGACGGGGGGTTTCAGTCTAAATGACATAACAGTAGGAGAATCGCAGACAACTTCATCTCGGTCCCCCACACTATGTTTCATAACCAAACACATGTGAGAAGTGACATGGAAACATTGCGAGATTATGTAGTATATATTTTGTTATTACCATAATGAGAAAGAAGCCTTTAGTGAGGTAGAAAATGTACGTATTTTGCTCATCTGGCCTTTTTTAAGGGAATTACAGTAGCAAATTTTTCCTCAACTCTTTTCTTTTTCGACCCAGTTGTGATGTTTCTCAGATGACACATCAAACAGACACAGGTGCTCATGACAAATTTCCACTAGTTTTTCTTTCAGCTCTTGGGTCCAAATGGGCAGAAAAGAAGCCCTTAACTTCTCACCCAGCATACCGCTAGCCTGCAGATACACACACTAGTGAATGCTGCTCTCTCTTTAGCAGTAGGTAATCGCCATTGTTATTTCCAATCAGAACAAATTCACACAGCATGATTCGAATCACAGACAGGTACAGAAATTTAGCATGCCAAATATCTTACAGGTGTCGGTGACTCATCTGGCCTAGATCCCCCATGAATGCAAACAGACACAGCTGAAGCTATTCAGGACTAATTACAAACACTATTTGTACAACTCTCAAACACACACATACACATTGCTGAATCTTGTTTAACTGTACTGTACTGTGACATTATGACATGTCTCCCTTGCCTTACTTTGCAGTGTTGTGACCCTTGCTTTGTTTTTGTGTTTTTTTACATTGCTTGCTGCTTGTACCGATCATTCACCTGTTTATTGACCACGACTCTGGATTGCCCGTATACATCTGTTTGACCCTGTTGATCGTTGCCTGCCTGACCATTTATGAATAAACCTTGCATTTGGAGCTGCACATTCGTTGTCAGCATTCGTATCATTACGCTGGAAAATAAAACTGAATTTAGAAACAGTTTTGAAATCTTTGCACTTAACAAACTTAATTAAATATGTAGGCTAATGGATGTGTTCAGTGGAATGCGTACAATACCGTTTCCTTATCCACGAAAGTAAAGGAGTAAAGTAAGAAGTAAAAGTAAAGAGGCAGAATGTAGGAGGCTTATTCTTTATCCTCAGGCTGCAGATGGTCTGTTTAACTCGTTTGTTTTCTCACTAGCGTTCAGTTTTTCCTCAAAAAAGTCTACCATGTACATAGCAAATGTGCCATGGCGCAACGCAACTGACTATTATAGGGAATGGGAGGTGAGACTCTACATGATTTAATGCACGCTATGCTCAAAACAAACCCATAACTCATTAGAAGAATAAGCACAACCCTGTTAGACCACATAGATTTTGCGCCATGTACTTTAGACTATGTGTCTAGATCAGTGGTTCTCAAACGTTTTTCATCAAGTACCACCTCAGAAAAAAATTGTCTCTCCAAGTACCACCAAAATGAGCAGTATTGAAAAACAGTAGCGTAGTAGGCCCAGTAAAGCAGCTACAACTCTGCACAGTTAAAAAAAAAACTAGGCAGATTACCTCAGAAATATAGGCTATATGTCATTTATAGCATATTATATACATCATTTTTGATCAATTTTGAAATGTGTGTAGCATATACATGACATATTTCATTCCTCTGCGTACCACTAGAAGGAAGCCTGCGTACCACTAGTGGTACACGTACCACAGTTTGAGAAGCACTGGTCTAGATCATTAAAATAGAGCCCTATGCGCTTTATTCAGTGTTAAATACTACCAATGTACATTTAATTATCATTAAACCTGACATTTGTTACCATACTACTGAAATCAGAGTTCATCTCAGATATTAAAAATAAAATAATTAGCAAACAGTGAAAATGAAAGTCAGAACTGTGACCAACAACATTAGTCACTCAATAGCTTATTAATAATGTTAAAGAAGTTCAATATCTATTAGTTATATCAAAATCCTTTACCATTTCATTTAGAGTGCAGTGGCTGGAATTAAAATGTCATGTCACGTTGCATTTAGCGCAGACAGCCAAATTGCTCGTCTCTGAAACATGTCGCTTGATGACACAGTGTAAGTGGACATCGCTGGTGTGTTTATAGGTACATGTGAGCAGTGTGACATATTTTTAACCTGCCTTCTACAGCGTGGGGGTGTCAGAAGGTTGGAAAACAGTGTACTCAGTGTTACTCAGCCTTTTCCAACTTCTTTTGCTTTAAACGAAGAACAAAATAGAGCCTCGTTTGAAGCATACCAGGGCCTTTAGTGAACAGAGGAGAGCTGCAGACAAGCTCAAGTGTCTTCACTCAGTACGACAAAAATGACCGACCTCTTTTCCAGCGGCAATCCAGACCTCCCTCTTCTCAGAAACATGATGTAGACAAAAAGGCCACTTGCGAAAAAGTCAAGCCCTCCACATACAGCGAAACAACTCGTCTGCCTTGTCCAGAAAAAAAAGAAGATGTTAGAGTCTTTCCACTAAGTCTGTGATGTTGGAGGCCTGGATTTCAGGGCAAATGTCGCATGCGGCACACATCAGAAAGCTCCCGGGTCTGGTTTGCTGTCTTAAGCCACAAGTCTTAATTTCAAACATGAAGCAGCGCCATTAAAACCTATTCAAGTCAGCAAGGGAACAAAACAGAGCTGCCAGAAAATTGGAGTGGGATGGGGATTTGGGAGGAGGCTGTCAGAAAATGCCAGCGTGAGAGGATGAATGGCCAAACCAACACTATTCTGAGAGAGAAACTTTAATTGTATGCTTGGCGAAGATAAAAGAAACATATCAGCTTTGCAGCAGAGAGACAAAGTGAGAGATGCCCTACTGGATATCAGGCAGGTACAACAAAGGCAACCGCTTGGAGACGGTCTGAAACCAGACACTAATTTAGAACCATGCAGCATTTCACACATAACAGTGCATGGAGACCGCAGGATCCTAAAAGCAAACGGTCCAGGATCTCTGCTGTTTGTCCACTTAAAGGGCCCCCTGGAACATGAAAAGTGGATTTAATGGCCACTTATGAATGACAACAAAACCTTTTATGGATTACACAGTTAGACATGCTCACATCAACAACCTGCATGAAGATATGGTAGCTGATACTGTTTTATGAATCTACAAATACTGCTAAACAAAATAATGTTATTTTAGTTTTGTTAAAAAAAAAGCTTTTTTAATTACAATAATTGTACAACATGTACACTACCTGACTAAAGTCTTGTCACCTATCCAAGTTTTAGGAACAGCTAATAATAACCTGACTTAGTTGATCATTTGGTATTAAATAATAGTGGTGGCTTAGACTGAGAGCATCTGTTTTGCTTATTTGTGTGTATATATGAGGGGGGAGGGGTATAGATTTATTTATTTATATACTCATTTGTTTTTAGTATGTTGTATTATTATTCCATGTTTGTGATGACTGCAGCTGAAAGCAAGAGCCCAAGACAAATATCCCTAACTGGGACAATAAAGTTTTACCTACCTTACCTACCTACCTATCAGAAGTGGCTTATATGAAAGGCGAAGTCCTCTAGATCATGCTTATTTTAACTAAATAAAATATGAGCATGCCTTATTTTTAATTATTTAATTAGGACAGTAAGGTCTGACTTTGCTTAGACAAAAGTCTTGTCACTTAACAAAAAAAAATGTACAGTCTAGAATATAAAGTCATGGTGCAGTGGAGAAAGAATATAGTGTATGACTCCCATGAGCTTGGAGGACTGCATCCATACACCTCTGCAATGACTCAGATAACTTATTAATAAAGTCATCTGGAATGGCAAAGAGCACATTCTTGCAGGACTCCCAGCGTTCATCAAGATTCTTTGGATGCATCTTCAATGCCTCCTCCTTCATCTTACCCCAGACATGCTCAATAATGTTCATTTCTGGTGACTGGGCTGGCCCATCCTGGAGCCCTTTGACCTTCTTTCCTTTCAGGAACTTTGATGTTGAGGCTAAAGTATGAGGAGTGCTAGTCTGCTGAAGAATTTGCCCTCTCCTGTGGTTTGTAATGTAATGAATAGCACAAATGTCTTGATAACTCAGGCTGTTGATGTTGCCATCCACTCTGCAGATCTCTTGCTCGCCCCCATACTGAATGCAACCCCAAACCATGATTTTTCCTTCACAAAAATGGACTAATTTTCTTGAGAATCTTGAGTTTATGCAGGTTCTAATAGGTCTTGCAGTTTTTGTGATGATTGGGATTCTGTTCAACAGATGATTCATTGTAAAAAAAAAAAACTACCTTCTGACACTTTTCCAAATGAAACGAAATGTCAGGTTTATGTTGATTGATATTACTGTGGGGAATTATTTTTTATTAGGATTTTTAAAAATATGGTAAAAGTGATTCCATTTTTACATCTTTTTTATTTCACAAATACAGATTTTGTCA